CTTAGCTTCTGGTGCATATATAAAGTGCCCAGTGGAACTAGTGCCAATTTGGAAATGCCAGTTGAACAGATCCAAGCAAGGGGGGGTGCAAACACAGTGCAGACGGTGCACGTACAAAGTGCCCAGCAGAATCAGTGCATGTACAGAGTGTCCAAAGAAGGTGCCCACATCCTCCATTGTTTTCAATGGAGGAAAAAAGAAAGCATTTAAGGAAAGGCACTGGATTTTTCTGGGCACTAGTACATTGTGCTGGTACTGCTTGCCACTCTGTACATGCACTGGCTATGCTGGGCTTGGAAACCCCCCCTTGCTTGGATTTGTTTAGCTGGCATTGCCACAGTGGCATTGGTTCTGCTGGGCACTTTGTATGTGCACTGGTTCTGCTGGGCACTTTGTACATGCACTGGTTCTGCTGAGCTCTCTGTACATGCACTGTCTGTGCTAGGCTTGCAATCCCCCCCCCACTTGGATTAGTTGAGCTGGCATTACCACAGTGGTACTGGTTCTGCAAAAATGCCCTCCCCCTTCAATTTCTACTGCAGAGACTCTCTGGTTTGACATCAGTGCCTTTTTTGCTGTTTTTCGCCCTCCATTGGAAACACTAGAGGAAGGGGGCACCTTCTTTGGGAGCCCATAGAATTGGACCCCCTAGCACAATATTTTTGAGACTTGGGGAGTCTTTTCAGTAGAGGCACCCAAAACCATGCTGAAAATTTGGTGTGTCTACCTCAAAAAACAATCCCACAGGTCACCACATACCCCCAGAAAGATTCCCCATTATAGCCTATGTGGATAATTGACTATAATAGTCCCCATAGGCTATAATGGAGCCGAAGGCATTTAAAAGTATCATGGTCCCTTTAAATGGATTCATGATGCTGCAGCTTCAACCAAAAAAGGCATTTAAAGGGACTGCACTGTCTTTAAATGCCGTTTAACTGTGGCTATCCTGTTTTTGGGATTATCTGGGATTGGCTATGCCTGATATCCAAAAATGCACCTCCCTCTATATCCATCTGAAAGAATAGCCGATAAATACCTATAAGGTATTTTCTGGCAGTTTTTGGCTCGGATACAGCTGAAAGCACAGTCGTAATGGTGATGGAGGGGAACCTCCACATTCAGAGGCACTAAGCCTATGAATCCCAGAGCCAGGAGGCAACATCAGGGGAAGGCTTCAGTCTCTATGGCCTGTTGTTGGCTGTCCAGAAGAACTGTTTGTCCACTGTGTCAGACAGGAGGCTGTACGTACTAGATGGACTATTGGTCTGCGTCAAGTGAGAGATGCACTCCCATCTCAACTGTGTTCATTTTGGGGAGGGAGAGAAGCTGGCTTTCCAATTGCATTGAGACACACGCACACACACAGAAGTTTTTCTAACCCAAAACTCAATTTTATTCCATTACACACTCTTAAGTCAGAAAATACTTTCGTAACATTTCAGTATTCAACACGGAATATTTCAACACAACCCCAGTACATAAATAGTGCACTTGAAATTCTATAAAGGATATCCTTGGTTGCTCTGCCAAGACCCATAGGACTCTGATCTGGAAAACCTGGTTTGATTCCCCACTCCTCCTCCGCAGGAAGCCTGCTGGGTGACCTTGGGCCAGTCACGGTTTTCTTAGCTCTCTGTCCATCCCACCTACCTCACAAGATGACTGTTGTGGGGAGAGGAAGGGAAGGCGATTGTAAGCCACTTTGACACTCCTTAGGGGGGGTAACAAAACCAACTCTTCTTTTTCTTCTGCATGTAGGGTATTCTGTGTTATCCCTGACCTGAGTAGCCCAGGCTAGCCTGAACTCGTCAGATCTTGGAAGCTAAGCAGGGTTGTCCCTGTTTAGTACTTGGATGGGAGCAGGGCTGTTTTGGGGCAGGAACGCACAGGAACGGAGTTCCAGCTGGCTTCAGTGTTGGCCACGCCCACTACAGCCAAAACCTCTGTGTGGCTACAGAGGGAAGGCCTGGAGAGTGACCCCCCCGGTGACTCTTGAGGCAGGGGGGCCAGGGGGCCCCTGGAAGGATCGGGGAGGCATTTAAATGCCTCCCCGTGCCTTCCCTGACCTGTCCAAGGGTCGGCTTGCCCGGGCTCCCCGCAGCCACAGGGCACCCGGGCAAACCAAGGAAAGGCATGGGGTGTGGCCTAATATGCTAATGAGCTGCACGGTCTGGGGTGTGGCCTATTATGCTAATTAGCTCCTGCTGGGCTTTTTCTACAAAAAAAGCCCTGGATGGGAGACCACTAATGATGTCCAGGGTCACAATGCAGAGGCAGGCAATGACAAAACCTCCTCTGAATGTCTCTTGCCTTGAAAACCCCGTGAGGGGTCGCTGTAAGTCAGCTGTGACTTGACGGCAAAAAAACAAACAAACAAAATTTGCGGTGCAATACTTCTTTCAAGTGAGATCAAGCTGGTCTGTTACGGTATCTTACTTGCTTTGTGTAAATGTTTTTTGGTAGGTATGCTGCTTGAATACCGCTGTGCTCCACATTCAGCTTTAAAAGAAAATACACACTATTTTTCTTTTTCTTTCTTTTTATTCCCCCAGAGGGGATTTTTAAAATTATTTTTATATCTCTACAAATACTACAAAGAAAAAAGGATATACATATACAAAAAAGGATATACATATACACATACAGGGACAAAGTAAAGAAACCCACTACTATCTAGAAACCCAAGAGAGGAGATCTCCAACAAGTTTAGTTACAATAAGTCATTACTTCAGTTTCATTTCTATAAACTGAGTCAAACATACTCATTTTTCTCTCTGCTAATTTTACATTTAGATTTTTAAGTGCCTGTAAACCACGCCCCATTCATCTCTAACATATTTATATTGTTGAATTCAAGGCACAATTCAGAGTCCTTCAGCCTTTACTTCTTTTTCCCCTTTCTCAGGTTATAAGGACTATTTTTCCTTCCGCCTCAATATCACCAAACAGTTTCTTGGCCAATACATGAAGTGTTTTGGTAGATAACTCGGTCATCTACTACTCTACTTCACTTTTGCTTATGGTGGAAAATTCAGCTACGGTTGGAGTAAAGCCCAGTTAGCCAGCATGTTTGATTAACCAGGAGCCTCCGTTTTCATGAGTGTTGCATAACATTTACAGCTGGGTGTATTCAGAAGTCTAGAATTCTGAGGGTTTCCTGGTTAGAATGTTGTAAGAATGCAAGAAGAGCCCTGCTGGATCAGGTCAATGGTCCGTCTAGTCCAGCATTTTGTTTCACACAGTGGCCGACCAGTTCCTCAGGACAGCCAACAACAAGGCATAGAAGATGTTTCTTCCTGGCATTGGTGTTCAGAGGTTTGCTACCTGTCATCATGGCTGGTAGCCACTGATGGACCTATCCCACCTGGTTCAGAAACAATCCTGGTTTCTTAAGTAATGAAATAATGTTATTGGCATATAGATAAGAGCCACCTCCTCCATTCAGCCTCTCTCTGAGGATTTTGCTTGGATATTAAATCATTGCTACTGATTTATTTATTTTACAGTTTTGTATCCCACCGTTCTGCCTCCTAAGAGCCAACAGCGCCGCTATCAAATTAACACGTATATAATAAAATCACATATTGAAATGAAGGAAAGCACTTTATAAAGCCCAGAGCTAAAATACAGAAGAACAAACATTGGGTGGGAAGGAAAAAATCACTGAGGGAATGCCAAATGAAACAACAAAGTCTTCACCCATTGATGGAAGACGGTATCCAAAGGGGACGGGGAGTCTCCCCGTGGAGAGGGTTCCAGAATTCCGGTGTCACAACCGAGAAGGCCCTCTCCTGGATTGCCACTGTCTCGTCTCAGAAGGCAGGAGACTTGAAGTAGGGCATACAAAGATGTCCATAGTGGTCAGGTAGATTCATAAGGCAGTAGGAAGTCCTTCCGGGCTGTTGGTCCCAAACCATAGAGAGCTTTAAAGGTGAACACCAGCCCCTGTGGAACTCTGCCCTCACCTGCATGTGGTGCCTTCTGTGGTGCTGAACTCTGTTCTCTGATCAAACTTTCTTCTGTACTATTTGTGAATGGTTCATATTAAGAAAATGATATAAATGAAACCAGTCCTATGAAAAGCCACCATGAGCCTGCTCCGGCAGGAAGGGTGGGGTATAAATTGAACAAATAAATAAATAAATAAAGCCTTTAGTCTAAATCTATTTTGTACCTTTATAGTTAAATATCATTGGGCTGCTATATCAAAAGCTGTTGAGGAGTATTAAAACTATCCACAGAGAGGCAGTGAACTCTTCAGATAAAAACCATTGACGGGGAGTGCCAAAGTTTCCTCTATCCTTTTGTTGGCTCAGGAACCAAATTAAAATGGTCTTTCTTAACTCTGCAGAAAAGGTAGTTCTGTTATGACTGCAGATTATAGGCTTATTTCCCCTTCTAATCAGCAGTCTTTCTTCCACCAGGAAATGGGCAGGAGGATGAGAATTATAGCGAGCAATGTGCAGCATTTCTCAAAACAACCAGCCATGAAGTGGAGGAAAAGCCTTCCAAGAATCAAGAACATTCGAAGAGGCAGGAAGAAAGCAAAGCAGAGAAGTCAGGGAATCAGTCTGTAGTTTTCCAGGCTGGCATCCTCCTTGAAAATCCATCCCAAGAAGAATATCGTAAAGCAAAGAGGAGGAATAAACATTCTGAAAGCATAAAAGGATTTAGATGTGAATCTAGCTTTTCTTCCCATCAGAGAATCCGTGCAGGGACTGAAACATACAAATGCTCTGAATGTGGAAAAGGCTTCAGCAGGCTCGTAAGCCTCACTTCTCATCAGAGAATCCATAAGAGGGAGGAACCATACGAGAGGCAGGAAGAAAGCAAAGTAGAGAAGTCAATGAATCAGTCTGTAGTTTTCCAGGCTGGCATCATCCTTGAAAATTCACCCCAAAAAGAGAATCGCAAAGGAAAGAGGAGGAATAAACATTCTGAAAGCATAAAAGGATTTAGATGTGAATCTAGCTTTTCTTCCCATCAGAGAATCCGTGCAGGGACTGAAACATACAAATGCTCTGAATGTGGAAAAGGCTTCAGCAGGCTCGTAAGCCTCACTTCTCATCAGAGAATCCATTCAGAGAAGAAACAATATAAATGTTTGGAATGTGGAAAGAGCTTCCGCTGGAATTCAAACCTCACTGCGCATCAGAGAATCCATTCAGAGAAGAAACAATATAAATGTTTGGAATGTGGAAAGAGCTTCCGCTGGAATTCAAACCTCACTGCGCATCAGAGAATCCATTCAGAGAAGAAACAATATAAATGTTTGGAATGTGGAAAGAGCTTCCGCTGGAATTCAAACCTCACTGCGCATCAGAGAATCCACTCAGGGGAGAAACCCTATAAATGCTTGATGTGTGGAAAGACCTTCACTCACAGTACAAAACTCACTTACCATCAGAGAATCCACACAAAGGTGAAACCATATGAGTGCTTGGAGTGTGGAAAGACATTCAGTTGGAGTACAGCCCTTACTTCACATCAGAGAACCCACTCAGGGGAGAAACCCTACCAGTGCACAGTGTGTGGAAAGTGCTTCAGTCAGAGACCACACCTTACTTCCCACCGAAGAATCCATTCTGGAGAGAAACCCTATAAATGCCAGGAGTATGGAAAAGGCTTCAGTCAGAGCTCGCACCTGACTTCACACCAAAGACTCCACACAGGAGAAAAGCCATATAAATGCTTGGAGTGTGGAAAGAGTTTCCGTCTCAGTGTATTCCTTACATCACATGAAAGAATCCACACAGGGGAGAAGCCATATAAATGCCTGGATTGTGGGAAACTCTTCAATCAGAGATCAAGCCTTAATACACATCAAAGAATCCACACAGGAGAGAAGCCATATAAATGCATGGAATGTGGAAAGGGTTTTGGCAGTGGTCCACACCTTAATGCACACAACAGAATTCACACAGGGGAGAAACCATTTAAATGCCTGCAGTGTGGAAAAAACTTCTCTAGGGGCACACTGCTTAGAGAGCATTATACAGTCCATACCAGAGAGAAAAAATATAGATGCAGGGACTGTGGGAAAAGATTCGGATGGAGAGGCCATTTTCTATCCCATCAAAGAAAACACAAAAAGGAGGACTCGTAGAAATGATCAAGCTAAGAGTTTTTGAAATACGGCAAGCCTTACAGATATCAAATAAGTCACAGAGACCCCAAATTATTATTTAATTATTAATAAGAATTTTTTTAGTGAGTCTTCAAGCCTTAGTAAATAGCGAGGAATCTAATAAGGGAGACGTGCTCATGAGATTGGAAACTCCCCACATAGTAATGGCGTTTTCAGCCTGGGCCTCTAGGCCACAGTAAACTGAACCTCCCCTCTCCTCCCTATGTGGTTCCGAAGCCAAGGAAGTGAATGGAGCCCAAAGGCTTGGAAGCAGAAGTGGGGGGAGATTTGAAAGGGAATTGAGTTCATTTATTCATTTAGAAAATTTACACGCCGCCTATTCAGAGACACTGCTTGATGCTCCTCTCAAAGTGGATTCTCGAATTTGAACTGCGGGTGAGTAACAATGAAGAATTTTCCTTGCCAAAAATAAGACTTTTTCTTCCAGGTGCTACCAATTGATATACAAGACAAAATGCTGAAAGACTGGCAAAAGCAACTAAATAAATTTATATAGAAGGCAAGAAACCGAGAGTTAGATTCAAAGTGTTGCAGGATGGGGGGGGGGGGGGATAAGAGGAGACCTAGTGGTACCCAATATTAAGGTGTACTACCAAGCAGCCAGCTTCGTCTGGATTTCTGACTGGATTAAAAATCCAAATGTCACAATGATGAAATTGGAAACAGCGGATTTGATTGAAGGTTTACATAACCATCTTTGAATTAAAAAAAATCAGGGGAAATATCGAAAACGTCAATGGAAAGCAAAGATCATGTAATTACAGACAGTTTACTGGAAATTTGGCAGTCACTAAAGACAAGAATTAGTCCACCAACCTTACCTGTAATGTCACCAATAGATGCATATTATGACAAACTTGTGAGTAGGGCTTTTTTCCCCCTTTTTTGAAAAAGAGATGCTGAAACAAGAGGGAAATAAAGTTTTCAATCTGTATACTGAAAACTCATGAACCTTTAAACATGTTTAAAATAATTTTGTTGAAGAGGTTCCGGAACTCTGTTCTGGTGCATTCCCCCAGAAGAAAAGCTCAGTTGTGAGGAAAAATAATGACTTTATAACGTATCAAGATATGATAAATTTGCAAGGGGAAATTAAATTTTGGAAGGTAATTAACCAAGAAGGGGGAAATGATACAATGGCTAACATATCTTCAACTTACATCGAGACTTAAAGAAGCAATCCGTGCAGAAAGAGATGGATTAAGAGATATGACTGAATTTGAAAAGACAATACTGAAGAGAAAAGATAATCTTCTAGGTTACAGTTAAGCTTTTACTTCAATATGATACAGAAATAGAACAAGTTAAAACATGTGTGGTGAAATGGATGCAGAACTTTGATGAAGAGATATCAGTTCAACTATGGGGAAATCTGTCAAGCACTTAGAGAAAATTGTTATAAGATGTTTTTTCATTGGTACATAACTCCAAAAGATATTGAGAAGTTGGATTAGAATTATAAAGGAAATTGCTGGAAACGTAAAGAGATGGATGGTACCTTCTATCGTACATGGTGGTCCTGTAAAAAGACCAGTAAATTTTGGAAAGAAATACATGCTGAAATTCAGAAGATTTTTAATCTAAAATTTGCCATGAAACCTGAGACTACGTTATTAGGAATTTTACAAGATAATATAAATAGGTCAACACAAGAACTGTTCAGATATATGTTAACTGCGGCACGAGTAGTATTTGCAACTGACTGGAAATCTGAGGTCTGCCCAAATCTTGAGAACTGGAAAGAAAAAATGAATACACTGTTATGGTAAAATTGACAAATTACATGCTTAATAATTTAAAAATCAATATAATGTAATTCTAGGAATTTGTAGTTATTGTAATCAATTTATTTACAGTTACGGTATATATCTAACTAGTTATAATATCTTCTGTTCTTCATTATCATTAAAGATTTATGTTGTTACTTTAAAACTATGTATAAAGTTAAGATAATTTCTCCCCCCCCCCTTCTTACTCATCTGTTTTTTGTCACCTTATAGACAGGAAATAGTGAAATAATAAAAATGTTATATGGAAATATAGTATAGACAGCTTATATTCTTATAGCGACTTGTTATGATTTTTCATGTTAATAATTTGTCCTTAATATGTGTTAAAATTCCTGATGTATTTCTTCTTTTTTCTCTTTTCCCTCTTACCCTCTTTCTATTTTGTACCCCTATTTTAAATATTAACAATAAAAATATATTAAGAATTTTCCTGCAATCTCTGGTAATAAAATAGCCTGCCAAGATGGCAGCACTCTTGGAATCTCCCCTTCCCAGTATCAATATCATAGAGGCACAGGAGAAAGCTAGGAGCTCGGTTTGTTTAGCCTGGAGAGGAGATGACTGAGAATTGATATGATAACCATCTTCCAAGTACTTGAAGGGCTGTCATAGAGAGGATGGTCTGGAGTTGTTTTCAGTTGCCCGAGAAGGTTGGACAAGAACCAACAGGTTAAAATTAAGTCAGAAGAGTTTTCAGCTAAGCATTAGGAAGAACTCCCTGACAGAGTGGTTCCTCAGTGGAACAGACTTCCTCGGGCTCTCCTTCTTTGGAGGTTTTTAAGCAGAGGCTGGATGGCCATCTGACAGCAATGCTGATTCTGTGAATTTAGGCAGATCATGAGAGGGAGGGCAGGAAGGGTTGCATCAGTGCTTAGTTCTCGTGGCCCTTTCTTACATGCCCAGGGAAATGCCGATCGCCACTTTGGTGTCAGGAAGCAATTGCTCTCCAGGCCAGTTTGGCCAGGGATCTTGGAGGGTTTTTTTGCCTTTTTCTGGGCATGGAGCAAGGTGTGTGTAGGGGGGAAGGTATTTGTGAATTCCCTGCATTGTGTAGGGAGTTGGATTAGATGACCCTGGAGGTCCCTTCCAGCTCTATGGTTCTATGATTGTTATGGAATCATAGAATCACAGAGTTGGAAGAGGCCATACAGGGCATCTAGTTGAACCCCCTGCTCAATGCAGGTTCATCCTAGAGCATCCCTGACAAGTGTTTGTCCAGTTGCTGCTTAAAGACTGCCAGTGAAGGGGAGCTCACCACCTCCCTAGGCAGCAGATTCCACTGTTGCACCACTCTTACTGTAAAAAAGTTTCCCCTGATATCCAGCCGGTACCTTCCCACCCTTAATTTAAACCTATTATTGCGAGTCCTATCCTTTGCTGCCAACAGGAACAGCTCCCTGCCCTCCTCTAAGTGACAGCCCTTCAGATATTAAAAAAGAGAGCAATCCTGCCCTCCCTCAACCTCCTCTTTTCTAGACTAAACAGTCCCAAGTCCCTCAGCCTTTCTTCATAGGGCTTGGTCTCCAGGCCCCCGATCATCCTCATCACTCTCCTCTGCATGCGCTCCATTCTGTCCACATCCTTTTTGAAGTGAGGCCTCCAGAACTGCACACAATACTCCCAACAGCAGCCTGAGTAATGTAGTGTACAGTGGGACTATGACATCTTGCTATTTGGATGTTATGCCTCTGTTGATACACCCCAAGATCACAATAGCCTGTTTTGTTGCTTCATCACACTGGCTGCTCATATTTAACTTACGATCCACCCAAATGCCAAGATCTTGTTCACACACAATGCTACTCAGACGTGTATCCTCCATCCTCATTTTTGTTACCCAGATGTAGAACTCGGCACTTATCCTTGTTAAATTGCATCTTGTTCACATCCGCTCACTTTTCCAGCATGTTCAAATCTCATTGAATTCAATATCTTCTGGTGTGTTTGCTGCTCCTCCTAATTTGGTGTCATCTGCAAGTTTAATAAGTAGCCCCTCCACACCCTCATCCAGATCATTTATAAAAATATTGAAAAGTACCAGGCCCAGAACTCAGCCCTGAGGCACCTCACTGGACACTTCCCTCCATTCAGATGAAACGCCATTGACAACTACTCTCTTGAGTGCGGTTCTCCAACCAGTTCCCTATCCACCTAACTATCCTAGAGTCCAGTCTACAGACCTCTAGTTTACCCACCAGAACATCATGAGGAACCCTCTTAAAAGCTTTACTGAAATCCAGGTAAACAACATCAATAGAATTCCCTCAATCCAGTAAGCTCATCATTCGATCAAAGAAGGAAATGAGGTTTGTCTGGCAGGACCTGTTGGGGACAGATCCATGCTGACTTCCCTGAATCACCAAGTTGTCCTCTAGATGCTTGTAGATCAATCCCTTTAAAATCTGCTCCAGTATCTTCCCTGGGACAGAGGTCAGACTGACTGGACTGTAGTTTCCTGGGTCATCCTTCCTCCCTTTTTTGAAAATTGGGAAAACATCAGCCCTACTCCAGTCTTGTAGCAAATCTCCCATCCTCCAAGAGGTCTGGAAGATGATGGACAAAGGCTATAGAGCAGCCATCTTCACCCGGAAGTCCCACCAACTTTTTTCATGTTGTCCACATCTGGAGAAGTGAGCTGACTCAGGAAAGCTCGAGATAGCAAGAGGAAGGTTGCAGGCTTAACTTGTATGGGAAATTATAGCTGTTTCTATACAACTGCTAGAAGTGTCCGAGGTAAAATCGGGGAGTTGGAGTGCTTGGTGTTGGAGGGAAAAATAGACACTGTGGGTATTTTAGAAACTTGGTGGGATGGGGAAAATCAGTGGGATACAGTGATTCCCAGTTATATATTATATCAGAAGGATGGGGGGAAGGGTTGGAGGTGGGGTGGCTCTGTATGTCAGAGAGGGTATAAAGTCCAGAAAGATTGAGAGGCTAAGAGAATTGGATTCGCTTCTGGAAATTCTATGGGTTGAAATAGTGGGCCCAAAAGGAAACTTAACACTGGGAGTTTGTTATCGCCCACCAGATCAAAAGATAGAGGAGGATGGGAGATTTACCTTGACTTCCAGAAAGCTTTAGATAAAGTTCCTCATCAAAGGCTCCTAAGTAAGCTCA